GATGGCAACCCAGATTGGGCATAAACATCACACAGGCAGCACCATCCTTGCCCAGCAGGTTACTGGACAAGGCTTGTAGAGAATGTCAGCCGCTGAGTTGGCTGGATAAAGACTTTTTCCCCAGCATTGATAGAGTTCCATCAACTCCACCGTAATTTTAATTCCTTTATGCATTTTAATATGTATGTATTTATTTTTTAAAACAATCCCAAAGCTAGATTGTTTTAAAAGCTCATTCCATCCTGGTTGCCTTCACTAATTCTTCTACTGCAAAAATCTCTTTTACTGTAGACAAGCGAAAGAAATGAGCCCATATGTCCTGCATGGCTGGACAGCTCTCTGGTTCTCTCAATGCAATGCTCTTCAATGGCTTTCCAGAGTGGTTCCCGAATGCTCATCCAGATGGTTCCCATCTGAGGGCAAGGAGGACTGTTTTAGCACCCTCAGTGCCCAAATGCATGGGGTGCTTCGGCTGCAATTAGAGCATATGAGATGGACAAGGATGAAAGTAGCTCCAAGCCAAGCGCTGCATGAGGAATTCAAAAGAATCCTGGCCAAGGAGGAAACACCTTCTTTGGAGTTGTGCTCCCAACTGTCGGCAACAGGTAGAGGCACCTCAATTAGTCCAGCAGGGGTTCCACGCACATTTTGACCAGGAGGTATCAAACGGCACAGGCAGGAAGATGGGGCATTTGGACCAACCTCAGTCAAGGGCAAAGGAGGAAGTCAAGAAGAAGACAACGACTCAACAAAACATGCTCCTAATTCCTGGTATCTGAATTTGGGGTGGAGAGGAGCATGAGCAACCTCAGAGGATCAGGTGAAGGTAAAGAGGCTGGATCCATCTGGGGCCACTGGCAAGGCCCCCAGGATCAGAATCCATAGATCTCTAGTGAGAATGAAGACTCACAGGGGTAGCCCAGCATCGGGAAGGGGAAACACTCCAACCCTTTTACCACCCTGTACCATGTTAATGACACCAGGGAGTTTCGGCAGCTCATTTTTATTACAGGAGAATCAGATTTTGCACTCTGCAAAATGGAAACATGTTTAAATTTGGTGTTTGCCTGCAACACACAGTGTGGTTGGTTGGTTGATTGACTGATTTCTTAATAATCAAACTTATATCCTGCTGCAAACGCAGGTGGCTCACAAATGAAGAATATAGAATAAAATATTTTAAAAATGACATGAAACAAATAAAAGTCCAAACCCAGAGGGTAACATCAGGCCCCAAAAGCCCTGAGGAAAAGTTCCACCTTTGGCTTTTTCCAGAAGGCAGGTAATGTCAGAAACAGACAAATCTCTGATGGGAAGTCATTGCAGAGGGCTGGCCCCATCACCAAAAAACAGTGCTTCCAGGTTCCCCCCACCAACCTCCTGAAAGTGGAGGCCAACCAGCTGCTTCTCCTGGCAGGATCAAAGCGGTTGGGGAGAGGCTGTTGTGCAGGTAACCAGGTGTCAAGCCACAAAGAGATTTGTAGGTTAATACTCATACTTTAAATTGCACCTAGAAGCAAATAGGAAGCCAAAGCAGGGCCTGCAAAGCAGGTGTCCTATGTGCCTAGTGGTCAACTCCCATGAGCACCTGAGCCACTGCATTTTGCACCATCTGCTTCTGGGTGACCTTTAAAGGCAGCCCCATGTGGAACATGTTGCAGGAGTCTAATCAGGTAGTTCAGGTGGTGTTGATGGTATGAGCTCCTGTGGTCAGGTTCTCTTGCCCTAAGTAAGGCTACCACTGGTGTGCCAGCTGAAGCTGGGCAAAGGTCCCCTGATCACAGCCACCACCCATCACCTGCTGACCTAACAGGAACCATGGGTCCAGGAGGACCCCCAGGTCATGGGCCTGCTCTTTCAGGGGCAGTGCAGCACCATCCAAAGACAAAACAGGGGATGTAGAGGAACCTCAGTGTATAAACAGTGCTTCTGTCTTTCTAGGGCTTAGGTTAAGCCTGCTGTCTTCCATCCAGATCTGCCCAGCCTCCAGGCACCAGGACAGGACTTCAACAGCATCTCCAGACTGGGGTCACAATGGACAGTTGGGTATCATCAGCATACTGATGATCAACTTACCCTCCCCACCCCCCACCCCAAATCTCTCTGAAATAATTCAGTTTTAATATCTTGCAGAAGCCAGTAGTGCAAGTTTCAAATTCCTGGGGAGAAATTCCAAAATGTAGGTACACCAAACAGAAGAGGAGCACCTACACTCCTCCACACCCCTCACCTCACTAAAGTGGTAAAATACAAGCAGGTTCTCCCAGACATCCAAGCTGGATGGGTCAAAACCAGTTGGAGAAGAAAGTCTGGCAAATACTCTGATGCCAAGCCACACAGGGCTTTGAAGTCAAAAGCAGCACCTTGAATTGCATTCAGAGGCTACTAAGGAGCCAGTGCAGGGCATGGAGCATAGGTGTCATATGCTTATTTTGGCAAATGCCTGCCAACAGCTGGGCTGCTGCAATCTGGTTTAACTGAAGATTCTGAATGGTCTTCAAGGCAACCTCGTGCAAAGTGCACTGCAGTAACCCCGAGTCATGAAGATGACCACATGAGTTTCCATTGCAATGTCTTCCCACTCCAGGTACAGTTGCAACTAGAACTACAGCCAGCGCTGAGCAAATCCCCCACTGGCCACTTCCTTCACATGCCCATCTAGCGGTAGCCATGAGTTCAGGAAGACCCCTGAGCCATGGATCTGCCCCTTCAGGGACAAGGCCATCCCATCAGGAGACAACATTGGAGACACTGCAAAACCTCCATGAACAAACAGCAGTTCCGTCTTGCTTGGGTTCAACGTTGGCCTGTTTTGTCCCATGCAGACCCTCACAGCTTCCAGCCCTTGGGGCAGGTCTTTGGCTGCATCTCCTGCATGGCCCAGAATAGCAATGTACAGCTGGGCATTAATTAATTAATTAATTAATTCGTTCATTTTGCATGCTTCCAAACCAAAAACACTCAGTGTCAGTTTACAGGAATCTAATAAAACGTACAGCCAATAAAATGTTCATGGTAAGACCCACGTGATAGACAAGACAGAACAGCAGCAGAAGTAATAATGGAGAAAAATACATGACACATCCTAAACACAAGACAACAATGGAATGCCACAGCTAAACTGAAATGAAAAAGAGGCATTATCTCTGCAGCAGAGTCCCTGAGCACAGAGAGGGTGCCTTTAATTGCCGCTTTGTAGATGTGGAGCGCTATTAAACTCTGCGTAAGCAAAAGGCCACAACATGGGGGAAAGCAGAGTCATCCATTTGAGAAAGCAGTGACATAGGGAAGTCTGTGCCACTGATAATTGCAGGCTGCCTCACAGTCATTAAAGGATCACTCAGACAACATCCATGCACACGCCTCTCCGTGAGACCGAAAATCACCAGGAGTCCTTTCTCTGCAGAAAACCCCAATTTCCAGAGCAAACACCTTGTCAAGGCTACCAAGTTAAGCAAATCCAAAAAGAAGTGGCTGTGTAACGTGGCGAGAGGGCAAAACTTTGCTCCCACTTCTCTAGACTACCCTCCCTCCGACTGCTAGCCCCCCCCACCCCGCCATCCTGTGCTTGAGCTTTGAATCACCCTTCCGAACAATGTAGGAGAGATTGCTTTTGTTCTTCTCCATAGAAGCCACAAAGAAATCAGAGTGAATATCTATAAAAAGCCTAGGAACTATTAATACCTGCACACAGGAGAGACACAATAATTCATAGCCATGCTGTCCTTCATTTGTCACGACATGTAAATGCCAAGAGATTGGCCTCAGTATAATGTGGCTGGAGGAGAGGAGGTGGACCCGAGACTCTGCAGACCACCTTCCTCATCCCCAAGAGTGCCACAGATCTAGGGTCACTTCCTCTTGTATTAAACATGTGTTCCTGCCCTTCTGCCCCAAATTAATCCCCCCTTTCATATAACACCACTTCTGGGATTTCTTGAGGCATTTATCTGGCCAATTTGGAAAGACGTTGGAATGGCAAGATTTGATTGGATGGATGACTGAGAATAAAGCACAACCACACACCAGCACCCTTGGCATGACAACCTTTATTTATTGCTTTCGAATGTGGTTCTGAAACATGATCTGGAAAGGCCTGCTGGAGCAGCACTGGAATCCCGAGAGCTGTGCATCTCCAAAGATGCCCAGCAGCTCTCATTCCAAGCAAAGAGTGTTAAGAACACACACTAAGCTAGACAAGCAAATGTTTCCAGGTTGTTGTTTACAGAACCAATGCCTCATTTACGCTATAATGCATTATTTATTGCAAACTGCTTTTCAGTCTCTGGAAGGAAAAAAATAAGGTCAATAATATTCTAAGGATATACATCATGTCTGTTGTTTTGCATTCCAGTACTTTGAATAATCCTACCTTGTTTTCAGACCTGATATGTGTGTTTTTTTTTCCTTTCCACTTAAAACAACATTGCAATGCTAATTTCTCCAATTGGGATCTCTACATATCTGGGCCATTGTGTCTTTAATAAGAAGCTTTCTTCTTCCATCTTTGGCCCCTACCTGCTGCTTGTCCAAAGCAGCACATTACTGGTGATGAATTTCTCTTAAGTAGTTTATGTTTCCTATATGGAAGTTTAACTACTAATTTTCTCTGTTAATTTGCAATTTCAGTATCTCAAAAAAGGAAAGAGTGAGCCAAAGGGAGGCATACAGTACTGTATCCAGAAAGTAAAAATACAGACAGCCACTAGATGGCAGGAAAGAGACCATTCAGCATCTCTCTGTTGTCATCTAATGGTTATCCCAGAATTTCACGCCCAGCTTGGCTGTGTTCAAAGTCCTCGTGCTGGCAGGCCAAAGTAAGATCAGTAAGTTTAAAAAGATCAAGGTGCAAATAAGCAGCTGTGCAGGCCAGCATCAAAAGTGCACTGTGCACTATTTTACACCACCCACAAATTGCCACCTCAGCAAAGGTAATTAGGAAATTGTCCCAGGTCCAGGATACTTGGGCAGGGGTGACCCCCCCTTAGGAAGTCACTTACCTTGGGCATCTTGCGGAGATTGGGAGAGAGTTTCAGGCAGGTGACATGGCCACGGTCATCACCAACGATGATGATGGGGTAGATGGCATTGAACTGGACGTGGGTGATTTTGTTTCGCTTCTTGGCTACCACTGGCTGGTGGCAAATAGGTTCATATTTGTTGACACTTAAGTCAAAGATGTAGGTCTGGTGAGAAAACAAGGAAGCAGGTAAGAAAGGGTTAAAGGTAAGGAAAGGAGAGACGGGAAGAGAGCTGGACTCAGCTCATTCTCTCTCGCATACACAAACACAATACATTCCCATTGAAGAGTCTCCAGTAGATTCCCCATGAATATTTTCTTGAACGTCAGTACGAAAGGAGCCCCCCGCCCCACTTCCATTCCTGTTTCAGGCAGGAAGAAGAAACGCCCTTTGCAAGTCCCCAAGGATCACCTGGCCTCCTTTTTGATGGCTGACAAGGAAGGAGGGGGATCACTTCACCAACCTTCCTTATGAGTACTCCACTGCAGCTGCCAACCTTCTCTTTTCTATCAAGATTAACACCAGTGTGACAAGTTAAAAAGTGAGCAATTCATCCCCCTCCTCCCCCCCACAAAAGCCTATGCTGTTAAAGGGATTAAAACAGTTTCACCAGCTCATTTCTACAGTCAAGCACAGGATCAAGACAGTAATACCAGACAGGACCTATCCTATTCTTTGTCAGCTGATTGATTTTTAATCACAGTCCTCAACATACAAACTTCCTCCGCTCTGCTTAACTCGCCTTCTTAAAAGGCTTTAGCACTACACGAAGCCATGGAATGAGTATTCTTGGCAACATGGAAAATTCAGCGTCAATTTTGTCAGATATTGCCCTCTTCCCAAGGGATTCTAAAAATCAGAGTTTGTGGTAAGGTGAGGTTTAGGGTCATCCAAGCCTAGATATCTCTGCATCTCAACAAACTACGTGACTTAGGAATCTTTGTGAAATTGGAAGGAGAAAGGCATACAACTCATCAGAGCCAGAAGAGGTCTTGAATGGAGACCAGGCTTCCAAGACTACTAAGGTCAAGCCCAGGCACAGGAATCTCAGACTGCCGCTTGGTTTGGCTTGACCAACATAAGGGACGATGCCCCAAGAGGTGGGGCGGAACGCTTGTCCTTCCAGAATCTCTAAAAAGCCCCACTTGCTGCAATCAAGACCTTTGAAGGAAGGCTGAGGTCCTGTCTTGTCCAGGCCTCGGGGTAGGGTTGATGGAACCCCTTCTTAGATGTGCTTCATGCACATTGTGTTTGTTTTGGTATAAGTTGTCTGGCTTTTCCATTTTGCTTATTTCCTTTACTGTATTTGCATCTTGGGGATATGCATACACACATGTATATGTACGTGTGTGTGTGTGTGTGTTGTTTGGAGTCAGGTGCTGCCAAAATCAAATTTAAAAAAAATGAAACAAATTGTCAGAACAATTCCTGATAAAATCAGCGCAAAATTACTGGCTACCCAGAGATCCACTCAAGTACTGAACTGCAGAGAATACAGTATGTTTTCCTAGAACAAGAATAATTCTGAATGGTTAGGATAATCACATTGCCTTCCCACTGAAACAGAACTTCTGTTGCGTGTACATCTGGTTCAAGCCACGATGTCACAAACATCATGACATCACATGCAAATGAAGTAAATTATAGAATTTGCATCATGCAAATTACCCATCAAGATCAATTCTAAGGAGACTAGACTTTCACCTGGATCCATCTGGGCTCCCTCTGCATACCACCAGTGGTACCCATCTCACCAGTTAAGAGCCACTGCTGGAGCCTTGTGAGGCCCATTATTATTTTGTGGCACCCCCATACTGTCTTCCAACCAACCCACTGAAATCTGTGGACCAAAGGACAACCACGGGCCGTAGCTTCCCCACTATTAAAATTATATGGAATATTCCCTTCAAAACCGTTAAAAACTAGGAAAGAAAGCCACAGAAAACTACAACCCCAGGGGTGACGCAGGAGGAAAACACTGCTGCAGACCTGGCCAGTGAATGGTTGACCAGCCATCTGCTAACTTGCCAGTCCAGCAAAGGCAACCTGTGATCGCTAAGCTGTAGCACATTCCGTGCCCAAGCTTGCCATTGCCACTGCTGGCCGGGACTGATGTTCTGGAACGCCTGCAGCTATTCTTTCCCTGCTCTAGCCAAAACATGGGGGTGCCTCTCACCAGGATTAGCCCACTCCCTGTGTGGCAACTTCATTTCATAAAAGCCACCTGCTGCCCTCCTCCCCAGGTGTGCATCTGTTTCCCCAGCAAGACAGAATCTCCTTGCTACTGTCAGGCCCTTCCTTTCTTTCCACCCAAACAAGGATAAGATGCAGTTGCAGTTGGACCATGACTGGAATAAGTATCAGGCTAGACTGGAGAGAGCACGTTCTTAATTAAAGTGGGGTTGAGGGGGAGGGGGGCAGGGGAACCTGGAAGCATCCTGATGAAGTGCTTTAACTCTCCTGTCTCAGATCATCAGGGTAAGCGAGTGGCGCTAAGGGCCGGATTCAGGCAATGCCTGTCCTATGCAGCAGCAGCAGCGCACACGCTGCCTGGGTGCTGCTATTCTGGGCCTTGATGATACAATCAAGGGGTGCTGTTAAAGTAATTTATGGGGGGTGGCAAAGGGGAGGGAGAAGATTGTTATGCTAATAGGTTTCGCAGTGCAGGAAGGAGGCTGGAAAAAGGAATCTGGCCAAGGATTAAAGGAGCTCAGGTGTTACTCAACACGCCTTCAGCAGCACTCTTAAGCGGACATGTATTAAACTCTATGAATGGATGCAAAGGCTTTCCTAACATATTTGATGAAAGATTACTCTCCTACTCATCCCCAAAGTTCTCCCTGAAATGCTGCCAAAATCAGGACTGCTAAAAATTATTCTTGTCCTGACTGCAGGAGGGTGCACCTTCTTTCCATCTGGAGCCCCACTTATTCTCTGGGCCGGGGCATCCGTGGGAAGAGCGGAGCCAAAAGAATAAAGATGGTAGTCTCATCCAGATGATCAAAGCCCTGCCCCTTTTAAAAATGCCACAACACACATTAAAAGAGGCTGGGGCTTCGACCACTTGTTCACAACCACCACCATTGCCTTTTTATTGCCCCTGGAAATGCCACTGCCCGTGCCCTGCCTGGGGCTGCAGGAGGCATAGCCAGTGGTGATACTGTGGCATCACCAGAGCAGCAGGGCCTGAAATGTTTTGCTCTTTCCCCTTTCGGGGTGATTTGGTCGGTTTGAAGGGGCAAAATAGGTGCTTCATGTTTCAGCCTTTTGCCATAAACCCCTCAAAACACCCAGAAAAGGCGCTGAAAAACTCAGTGTAAGAAGGGCAAATGCACCAATTGCAGTTTCATTCCATTTATTCTGCAAATCTGTCAAATTTGGCTTGTCAAATTTGAGTTTTTAGTTGTGGGTCATATTTATAGCCCACTTGCTCCTGTCAAAACTAAGTCCATACTAAACTACATGCTATGGAAGAGAATCAAGCCCATGCTTTTGTTGACACGTCTTAGCAAAGGTCTTTTCTTTTCTCTTTTAATGACAGAGAAGGTTGCTAGTGGGGACGGCAACAGGTAGGTTTCCCAATTTGGTAAAATCCCAAACAGAGTTCAAACATTCAGTGCAGCATCAGTGCTAGAGCAATGAAGATTTATTCAGCTAAGCTACAAACATTCCTTCATTATCTTGCTTTCTTCTTTATTAATACACAGCCCAGTTCCTACCATCTGTAACTGACCTTGTTCAGCCTCACATAGCCCCTGTCCATTCTTCCTTTCAGAAGCTTCTTGTGAGATAACAAAAGCAGACCCATATTTAACTGCTTTCTAGTACAAAGAAGGGCAAGATGGCTTCACTTGGACACAGAACCGGCTCTGCTCCGGTTCATTCCTAAGTCACGTCCGCAGAACATACGTAAATGCACCCATCGCTATATTCCCTTTTGGGGAAGTAACCTTATGAAAAGTGCCAAAAAAGAGTAAGAAATAGGAAAACAAAGAACAAAGCCTGAGATAAGAAAAGGAAAAGGACACAGAGCTAAAACGAGTTTATACCAATGCCATTCACTATCCTCCATAATGCCTTTCTATCCCCGCACACCAACCTTACTTCTACTCTGTCCAAACCCCACTCTGCACAGTATTTCAACCTCTCTCTTTTTCAGGATCTCAACAACTCCACCCAGCCACCTTCTCCACCTTCTCCTTCTTCTCAACACATGGACTACTTTCATGTGTCTGTTATGCGATTCCCTCTTCATTCATCACCCCCTTTGCTATTCAGCCCACCTTCCTTTGGCACCCATTCATTCTTGACCTTTTCTCGCTTGACCCCACCTGCTCCTTCAGTACCCCCTTCCCACTGCATTCAGCTTGCTGTCGTGTTCCTCCTGACATACCCGACCCTTATTTCCATATAACAAAGTGGGAAGAAGCTCACTCTTATATTCTGGCACCTTTGCTTGTTTCGTTCCTCGCAGATAGCATCCGCTGCCTTTCTAAGAGCATTTCCATGCCTTAACGCTTTTCCACTCATTGCCTCATCTTTGATAAACCTTCTACCAAAGTATGCAAATTCATCTCCTAGTTTTTCATCACTGATGTACCGCTTGCAACTGTTCACGGCATTTTCCTTCACAAACACAACAACCTTGATCTTTGATACAGTAATTTTCAGATGCACATTCCTCCTTGCAACATGCAGTCTGCTTAAAATTCATTGCAAATCATTTGGGTTCTCAGCCGACAACACAGCTTTATCGAGACACAGAACTACACAGCCCAAGCCCACGCATCTCTTCCATTATCACAAGCATTCCTTATCCATTTATCCATTAAACGAGGAAGGGGATGTCACCCAACCTTGTCTCGTTCCCTGTTGAATCTTGGATTTACTAAGTGTTCCATTTATTCTCACCCGTTTTACTTCCATCAAATAATGCTCCCATCACATTCAGCAAACGACCCTGAATTTGGTATTTGTGCATTCCGCTACCATATACTTTCTCTAAACCAATGCATGTAGAATCTGCTTCCTTTCTCACGTTGATACATTTCTCAGTGACCTGAGCAAAGTTTGGCCTGTGCTCTCCCTGGGACCGACATAAAGCCACAGTGCACAGTACATGGTCTTGGTTTGAACCCTATCAGTCAGATTTCTGCCAAAAACAC